GTGTCCTGGTTTTATGTTTTTTTTTTTTTTTTTTTTTTTTTTTTTATGCAAAGGGACAGGAGATTCTGCCTAGGTGTAAAGTGATAAAAACACCTTGTTGGAGAGTCAGGCGAACCTGGGGCAATGTCTGACATTGTAATGGGGGGGCGTTCCCAGCAATAATTTACCTCTCTGCTCCCTCAAGAAAGATCCTGTTGACTCTGCTACAGGAGAGAGACTGGTGGGGCATGACCGGGGCAGTCCGCACAGCTGCTGCCCTCCACAATGTGTCACAGGGGAGGATAGGGTTCCAGGCGAGTTCAGAAAACCTAGCTCAGCCATGCAGCCAACAGAGGGTAAGCCAGCCTGCAGCCTGGCTTCTCACAGCATTTTCATCCCTCCTGCCCTGACATCTGAGCTCCAAGCTCCAAATCCAGCCTGTATTATATATAGCAAAGTTACCTTTATTTTACATCACATTTGGTATTCTGTACTTAGTCACCTTTCCATGTGATTTGCATTTGAAATGTTGTAAACTTGGTCAGTATTTCCATTAAAATATCAGGGCTATTGTTGTGTATATATTTTTTTCTTCCTAATGATTTTAAGGATGAGATTGGGGAACCAGCAGTTAGCGTGTGTCACTGAACTCCCACGTAGTCGACCTTGGTTCACGTCCCAGACCCGGTGGCTCAGAACTCACGCCGGGCGCATGTGCATGCGTGCCCAGGATCCCGAGAGGGGAATGGAGGAGAAGGGATTGCGGCGTGACCATCCCCCCTTGGGGGGTGATTTCTCGCTTTCTGTCTCTACGTCTCTGTCTGGCGAGCGCACATGCCCTATAGCGAAAACCTCTCAAAAAAATAAAAAAAAAAAAGGATGAGATTGAAATGTGAGCTTTCCTGGGATCTTCAGTGCTATGGGCCCATCTGCCATCTCAGATCAAATTCTTTTTCTGATGATAAGTAAAGTTTAGCAATATGCATTGATTAAAATGTGTATTAAAGGAGGCCAGGGTTACTGCTTGGCAGGGCATATTCTCTCCCTGCTCTTTAATATCCTGTGCGTGACCAGTTCTCCATGTTGCCAGGGGTCGGGCTGGCTGGGGGGGAGGGCAGTGGCGTAAGGGACCCCCCGCCGTCGTCCCTAATGACCCTGCAAGGTGCTCATCGTCAAACTTACATTGTATTCAGGAACTTGCCCTGCGGCCGCCAGCTCAGGCTAGGCCAGAGCCTGAAGAACACTGCGTCCAGCTTTCTGCTCCTGGCTCGAAGTTCAGGTAGCTGCCGGGCTTCCTGGATCGCGGGTGTTCCAAGAAAACCCTCCGGGGACTGAGGCGCCCCACGGACTCCGGAACCTTTGGTTCCAGGCCACGGATCGCGTCGGGGGGGGACCTTCCGGGAACCGGAGCAGGTTCGCGGTGATGGCGATGGCGGCGGCCCCGGCCCTGAAGCACTGGCGCACGACGCTAGAGCGGGTGGAGAAGTTCCTGTCGCCGATCTACTTCACCGACTCCCGCGGCAGGTGGGCCTTGGCCCGGGAGCCCGCCGGCTGCATCCGCGCGCCTCTGCCTTCTCTTCCGGAGGGAAACCCACGCTGCGGCCACTCGGGCCGCGGAACGAAGTGCCCACCGCGGCGGATGGGGCGGGGGTGCGGGAAGGGAGTGTGCTGCGAAGTTGCCAGGCTGCCCGGTGGGCGGCGGCTGGAGGGAAGGGGCGGCCTCCAGCGCGCGCCCACCGGCTCTTCCCGCGCCCAGGCTCTTCGGGGACAGCTGCCCGGTGGCCGCGCTCTCCAGCTTCCTCACGCCCGAGAGACTCTCCTATCAGGAGGCAGTCCGGCAGGACTTCAGCCCCGCGCGGGTCGGCGACAGCTTTGGGCCCACGTGGGTAACGCCCAACTGGGGGGCGGGGCCGGCGACCCAAAAAGAAGGGCCACCTCAAGGCCACGCCTCCACTGTCTCCGCCCCAGACAGAACAGTATCCTCTGCGGGATCGGGGATCGGCCTGGGTGACCCACAGCCTTCCCGGGACAGTACACTACACCTTGCCCGGCCCCTGGCCACCCTTTAGGAAGGACAGCCCAGGGGGCACCACTGGCCCCTGACTGCCTCTTTCCCTCCCCCACCTGGGTTCTCCATTCTTGTGTCTCAGAGCTGAATGCCTGTCATGCCTCAGGTCTTGGAGACTGCTCAAGCCCTGCTGACCCTAGATCTCAGGCGGTGTCAAAGGATGGGACTTCCACCCTCTGCCCCTCACCATGCTCTCCTGCAGGTGGTGGACCTGCTGGTTTCGGGTGGAGCTGACTCTCCCCGAGGCATGGGTGGGCCAGGAAGTTCACCTCTGCTGGGAAAGCGATGGAGAAGGCCTGGTGTGGCGTGATGGGGAGCCTGTCCAGGTGAGCAGTGCTGCCACATGCGAGCCCCGGTTCTTGGCGAAACCACGGCCTCCGGGCCTCGCCTGCAGGGTGGTTTTGGGGTCTCGAGCCTGAGTGGAGGGGCCTGGCTGCCTGGGCACCTGTGTGATTGGCCCCTAGTTTTCGGGAAGCTCACTTGTACGTAGTTCTTGCTTAGGTTTTCAAACAGTTCTAGATAGTATAAAGCGGAGCGCAGGCAGGCCAGTGGCGTGGTGGTTGAGGAGGCTAGATCCCACGTGGCCGACCACATGACTGGAGTCCTGGACCTGGCGGCTTGGGTCTCTCCTCACCAGGGAGTTTGCACATGTGCTCAAAGTTCCGAAAGGAGGGAGAGATGAAGAAGGGCTTGTGGCGTGATGATTCCCCCCGGGGGTGCTTTCTTGCTTTCCCGATTTCTCTCTCTCTGGTGAATGTATGCACTGTCTAGCAAAATTAAGGAAAAAAGAGCCTGGGCAACTTCAGCTGCCTTCCCCTGGAGTAACAGCTTCCGCTAGCACCTGGTCCCACCCCCATGTGTCATCACTGTTCTGCGTCTGCTTTGTGTGTCCAGCCATAGCAGGCCTAACCTTGGTGTCCTGGGGGGGGGGGGGGCCCCGGCCGGGTAACGAAGAAGAAA